CCGCACAGGTGTTGTTTATCATGTTTTTCATTGGGATCAAAAGTGTGATACGGCTGAATGAATACGTGGGATAAAAACTGTTCAATTCCTGTTTCCGTTGCGTTTTTTTAACAGGCGTTTAGCAGCGTAAAGGTCGTTTGGTATTGCCTCATAGGTTGCTGAGATGTTTGCCCTGAAAATACAGGAAAAAAGGAAGGAAAGGCGGAGATTTTATCATCGAAGTATTTGTGTCACCCAGGGATTACACTTAGTGAGAGTGTGAACGAACTTAGCTTTTGCATTTTCTCTTCCGAGGTTTTTTCCCCCAAACACTTTCAGAAAAGAGCGTTTTTCGAAAATTTTTGAGGAAAACAAGATTTTTTGTTTTTTTCTTGGATTTTACTTTTCAGTCTTAGAAATATATGTAAATTGAATTTATGATGACCAATGACCTGAAACAGCTCCCAGGCGTATGAGTTAATTCATAATTACAGTGAAAATGAGGGCAAATTAAAATTATATTGATTTCAGATAACTCAATTAGTAAAGGGGAAAATAAAATTAAAAAAAAGAGAAAATAAATAAATCGACAACTCTTTTTTGGCAAATAACGATAAGATGCAGGAAATTATAAAAACTTAATTTCAAATGATTTAATTATTGAAAGTAAAATTAAGCAATAATTAAAATTAGAAGTTTTTTTTTTTTGCCAAATATTGGTAGGCTTATATCAGATAATCTTCAAAAAGCAGACTTCGTCTTTCGCCTAATTTTATCCCGTAATCGTATTTTAACAGGAAGAGTGCCTCTTCTGTTCGTGATTCTTGCAAACTTCCCATAATATGACATTTTCATTTCACATTCAGAAAACTTTTTTTCTATTACTGCACCTGAACTTTGCCCCATTGTAGCCTTTTTTCTAAAGCATTACAAATTGATCGTGCATTACTTTTTCCCGCATTTCTTCCTCCGACAGACATTTTACACTTGTTTAGCTCGAAAGAGTAAAAATTCAAAACGTACAATAAATTAAGTAGTAATTAAATCAGCTTAAATTAGAAATTAGTTTAAGAATTTGAATTAGCAGCAGTGGCCAGCATGCATATGAAATAGAAATAATTGAATAATAATTAAATTGATACTTTGGGTTTGCGGCATTAACTTGATTTGCAATAATATAATATGTACGACAATGTAATGTTTGTAATATATAATAATTGTAATAAAGAACAGTAATACTAAATAATAGGCGGAATTAATTACTGAATGAAAGAATTCAGTTCAGGTTAGAAAAGTTCGGATAGATAGCTGTATCTGCATTTCAGTAACACATCACTAACATAAGTTACCCACACAGACACACACACACTGATTGTCTGGGCGACGATCCCGGTAATGTTAAAAAGAAAAGTAAATTTTGCTTTATAATTCGTATTTTGAGGTATTAATTTATCAGCCGTTGAAAATTGATTGCTACATTGAGATGCCATGGAAAAAAAACGTTCTAAATTTGTCGTTTCAAGGTCATTTCAGATGTGTCATCTTCAGACACACATATAACAGTCCCTAATCTTTCCGGTATGTGTACAAACAAACCCACCCATCATACATGAA